TTTCAACAAGGCCAAATGCCGGGTCCTGCACTTTGGCCACAACAACCCCAGGCGACGCTACAGGCTTGGGGCGGTGTGGCTGGAGGACTGCGTAGAGGAAATGGACCTGGGGGTATTGATTGATGCTCGGCTGAACATGAGCCGACAGTGTGCCCAGGTGGCCAAGAAGGCCAATGGCATCCTGGCTTGCATCAGAAACAGCGTTGCAAGCAGGAGCAGAGAGGTGATTGTTCCCCTGTATTCAGCACTGGTGAGGCCGCACCTCGAGTACTGTGTCCAGTTTTGGGCCCCTCACTGCAAGAAAGACATTGAGGCCCTGGAACGTGTTCAAAGGAGGGCAACAAAGCTGGTGAGGGCTCTGGAACACAGGCCATATGAGGAGAGGCTGAAGGAGCTGGGAATGTTCAGCCTGGAGAAGAGGAGGCTCAGGGGAGACCTCATTGCTCTCTATAACTTCCTGAAGGGAGGCTGTAGTGAGCTGGGGGTCGGCCTCTTCTCTCGTGTCATTAGTGATAGGACCAGGGGGAATGGCTTCAAGCTACGGCAGGGGAGATTCAGGCAGGAAATGAGGAAGTATTACTTTTCAGAAAGGGTGGTCAGGCACTGGAATGGATGCCCAGGGAGGTGGTGGAGTCACCGAGCCTGGGGGTGTTCAAGGAAAGGCTGGATGTTGTGTTGAGGGACATGGTTTAGTGGGAGCTATTGGGAATAGGTGAACGGTTGGACTGGGTGATCTTTTAGGTCTTTTCCAACCTTGGTGGTTCTATGATTCTATGAAAAGAATTCTGGTGGCTGGAGGCTCTGCTCAGCCCTGCTTGTACTCTCTGGGGTTTTTGTGAGCACCTTTTGCATCCTGTCCAGTTCCTGGGGCAGGATTTGTGCTGTTGGTGCTACACGTGCAGCTGAGCTGACTGCAGAGGGAGCTATGGCTGCAGAGAAGAGCTGCAGGTGTCCACCTGAGCCCATGTTTTTGAGCTTCCAGACTCTGAGTTTCTCTTACTGGGAATGTGTGTGAGAGAGAGAGAGAGATGGGAGTGAAGAATTTCTTTTTCAAAGTCTGTGCATTTATGGGTTGAGGCTGAAGTTTCCTCTTTCAGAGGAACGAAGATGCTGAAGACCTCTTTGATCATCTGACCCCTGCAGCCATCCTTCCTGATGAGAGATGTGCTTGCTTCTTCCTACAACAGCTCCAGCATACCTCGGAGGTGAGATCACCCAACACTGTGCCAGTTCAGCTCACCAGCACCCTGGTAATGCAGAGGGCTCTGATCCCTTCCCCCTAAAATGACTCTGGGCACAGCCAGGCTGACCAGGGCTCCTTGGTTCCTTCTCAGCCATGCCCACATGTGCAGGAGTGCTGCTGGGACCTGTAAGTCCAGTTGCTCTTCCACCCAACCGAGATTCTACAATGATAGGTATCCAAAACACATGCCCCAGAGGTCAGACACAGACAGCTGCAGGTGTGGTGAAGAGGACATCAGCCTCCATGCTCTGTGGATGCAGCTTTGGAGGTGCTGATGGTTTAGGACTGGTGGAAAGGAAGCCAGGCATTGGCTACGAACACATTTTCCCTTATTCAGCTGTCTGCACTTGCAGGAAGCCCTGCTGGTTGAGGCACTTTGTGATGCTTCACATGTTGAAAATAAGTGCTGCTGCGTAGCCTGGTAAAAGACAATAAATGCAGAGGAAATCCTTTTTTCAAGCTCAGATGTGTTTTTCCAGACTAAGGGTTCAGACATCAGATTGAATCTGTGCCTCCTGCCCTCCCTAACAGCTGGTGCACGCTCAGCTCTTTGATAGGAAGGCACTTGAACAGGAGCCAGAGGAAAGGTTTTGAAGCCTGGTTTTGGTGCCTACTACTGCAGATCAAAGTTGTACCTTCGCACAAGAGAAATGAGGAAAAAAGGAAGCTTAATTAACCATACTACAGGCTTTCAAAGCTGATTCAGCTCTTCAAAAGCTTTTGCAGTTTAACGAAGCTGAGACCCAAACTGTTTCCTTCGCTGAGGTGTCTTAGAATCCACGCAGGCATGTCGTGCAGCGAGTGCAGTTTGTTGGTGTAACTCCACAGAGCAGCTGCGGACCCAAGAGCCAAGATGTGGGCTCTGATTGTGCCACAGAAGATTGAAACTCATTTGGCCTCATAACTGTGTCAGCAAAGAGCGTGCTTAGAGCTTCACCTGCAGCTTCAGGGCAGCTGCTGAAGCCGTGCCGCTGTGTTCCCCTTGGAAATTCTGTGAGATAGCTCAGCTGAAGAGTTTTTAGTGCGGCTCCCAGTTGGATGATTAGCAAATAACCACAATTTAATTGTAAGCAGAACTTTTCTCCTAAGCAAGGATGGTTCCTAATGGATGGTTGACCCGACCCGGCATTGGAGATACCTTGAGCCCCTCGTGCTCTTCTCCCTTCTCGCTGACAGGAGGTGTGCACTCTTCATCACTTATGGATCTTTGAGGAAAACAGTGGGTAACCATTGTTGTGTTTCCTCTACATGGATAAACTGCTATGCTGAATTATTTCATCTCTGCCTTGCTTTTGAGACTGCAGCAATCAAATTTTCCCATAGGTTGCTTGATTATTGTGAGCCCCAGGGCTCACCTTGTAGTGGAGCAAGGGGACACAATGTTTTTCCCTTCCCTGTGTATTCACAGCTCTGAGAAACCAAGCCATCAGAGTTCCCAAAGGCAGGAAACTACCACAAAATGCAGTTATCAGTGTTTATTTCTTTGGCTTCTACAGTGAACCATAGCAGAGCCATAAAGTTCTGCTTAACCAAGGGCTGGTTACAAAACCAGTTGCCTGTGGGGAGGTGCAAGCAGCAGTTGTGCAAGGAGAAAGAATCATCTTTGAGGTGGCCTCTCAAGGCCAAGATGGAAGGCTCAGGCTCAGGATGTGTCTCAGCATCAGCCTCTGAGCAGGGAGTGCCTCTGCTCACAGCCACACTGATGGGCTCTGTGCCCTGTGTAAATAACCCAACCAAATAGTGCGTTGCAAAATCTTTCTATGCTAATGCAAAATAATTGCACTGAGGCTGAACAGCTGCTGCACTTCAAAGAAAACCTGACCTACAAAGAATAATGATGACAGGAGATGTGCTTCGGTTCTTGATTTTTTTCCCTCTATTATCTCTCTTGATTTATTTTTTTTGTTGATGTTAATGTAAGATTGTTAATAATCTTAATGGAAGGAGTGGTGAGCAGGCCTAGGGAACTCATCCTGCCTCTGTACTCAGCATTGGTGAGGCCTCACCTCCAGTACTGTGTTCAGTTTTGGGCACCTCAGTACAGAAAAGACATTGAGGTACTGGAGCAGGCCCCAAAAAAGCAACAAGGCTTGTGAAGGGCTTGGAGAATGTGCCCTATGAGGAGAGACTGAAGGAACTGGGGCTGTTCAGTCTGGGGAAAAGGAGGCTGAGGGGAGACATTATTGCTCTCTTCCAATACCTGAAAGGTGCTCACAGCAAGAGCGGGGTTGGTCTCTTCTCACTGGTGACAGGATGAGGGGAAATGGCCTCAATTTGGGCCAGGATAAGTTTAGGTTGGATGTCAGGAAACACTTCTTTACAGAAAGGGTTGTTCAGCACTGGAATGGGCTCCCCAGGGAGGTGGTTGAGTCACCACCCCCAGATGGATGTGGTGCTCAGGGACACAATGCAGCAGAGGCTCGTTAGTTAGGGTAGTATGGTCAGGTTGTGGTTGGGCTCAGGGATCTTTAAGGTCTTTTCCAACCTGAGTGATTCTGTGATCTTAACAACATAATGGCATTTACAATTAGATGAAGTTATTACTATGAGATTGTATGCAATATTGTGTTTCTTAAGGCTTGCCAGGCAGCTTATTGAGTTAATGCACAGCACCCTGACCTTGCAGCAACCCCAATGGAGGAAGGGCAGTTTGCACCTTGCAGGAAGCTGCCCTTCCTCCAGGGCATGATGTGCCAATCCTCATTTCACTGCTTCCCCTCCTATCAGGCTGTGGAGGGAGGCAGCCTGGCTCTGCCATCAAACAGGGATGGGCGAAAAGGGTGATCCTTTACTAGTGTGTACTTATTTAGAAGGGTACTAATTTTCATTAATCTGGCTTGAGAGGTGATAAGACTACACTGATTGGCACAGAGGAATAAAACACTACAGGTTTGATTTATGTCAGACGCTTGTAGAACCTAAGGAAAGATAATTGGTGGCAGCAGGGCAAGGTGCTCTGGGTGAAGGTTTCAGCAGCAGAGGGCTCGTGACAGACAGGCTGGCTGAGGTACCAAACACCAGCCCTAATTTCACAGGAGGCGATTATGAGCACAGGGGGCTCATCCTGCTCTTCCTGCTGTGATTGCAGGGCACACTGTATCTGCAGGTGAACATTTCCTGACTGCCAAAAGGGGCTGATTTATCAGCTCTCTCTGCAAATCTTCCTTAAGTTGCTCTGACAATGCAGTTGCACTGTTTCTCTTCCAGTGCAGTTTTGCTTAACAGTTTAGAGGAGGCGGCAGGGGTTTGTGCACTCACAGGGTCACTCTCCTCCTGCCTGCTTCTGCTGAGCCATCGCTGACAGAAGTAGCTCTAAAAATGGACTGAGGCACATGGAATTGGTAAAATAAAGCCCCCACCACCCCCTCATTTCCTGCTGGATTTAAGCAGAGCAATTGATTTTGGTACCCTCACCCTGCTTTTGCATACAGGGATCAATGGATACCATTGCTTTCAGTCCTTCCCTCTGAAGGAGGCATCTACCTCACCTCTGACAGTTTCATTTCTGCAGAGCTTCCCTTCCAGTGGCCAAGAGAGGAGCTGGCAAAACCCTGAAGCTGATGGAGAATTTCACTCTGCTTTTGTGGACTCCAAATGAGTAATGCCTGTCTGAATGAAAACAAACAAACACACAGCACAACTGTGTAGGTGCCAGTTATGGACCACGAAACAATTTCTTTTGGTGATTCAGCAAAGAACTCTCAAGGAAAAGGAAAATCCTCTTCCTTAGAGAAATGAACCCATACAAACCCAGGGAGGCACTCTATTGCACAGTGTTTATTTTGAACGAGTCAAGAGCAGACATTTCCAAGCAGTGTGACAGTTCCATAGTTGCAGTCACCAGTCAGTGACACCCCTCTGCCGCCCAACAAACGGCATCAAAACAAGACTGAAATGAATGGAATGTGCTGAGCAAATCTGCCCAACAAAAGCACCACTGGGAGATGAGGGCTGCGGAGTATGGAGGTAAACTGGCAGATGCTTAAAACAGTCACTTACTTGCAGCCCTTGTGCAAGCAAACTGAAGAGGTATTGATGGGGCCACTGGGACAGGAGATTGCAGCTGTTTCACCAGAACACAGAGCTGGTGAGTGCAGGTACCTAAAAACACCCACTGAGCACAGGTCAGAGGCAACAGAAAAACCAGGTTCAGGTAAAGCTGGCTGAATTCAGCTGGCAGCCCTACAGCACTGCACTGTCAGAGAAAGTCTGTGGAGGACAGCCCTCCTGCTAAGCCAGCCAGGGGAACCCTGCTTTTACTTCATCTCAGACAGCTCCTGGCCCCCTGGCAGCTGTGCCAGCATCAGAGTTCTGCGTGGTAATAACAGGGAAGGATTTTAAGAGAGAGAAATAAGGGTAAAAGCTATGAAATGTAAGCACTGTTCCCTTTAAAAGCGCTCACAAAGCAGCGCCAGATTCATTGAAATACCCTTTCCAAAGCGGGAGCTGGAGCTGTACTAATGGAGTGCAGATGGTGGGAATCCAGCATGGAGCTCTGGCCAATCTACAGCGCAGACATTGTGAGCTTGCACTGCCAAAGGCACAGATGCATTTTTGAAGTCAGAAGTCAAGATGATGACCCAGGAACCACCTGAAATCTGTTCCTGAGTAATCAAAGGGAGCAATTTTGGGGTGAGGAGGACTATTGTGTGAGTAGAATCCTCTTAACCCTTTTTCTGCCATGTGAAAAAAGCACGAGGTTGGCATTACACACACCACTAAATTCACAAGTGCCTGTAGAGTCTGTAGTCCTTCCAGTTCAGGAATTCTTCCCTTTAAAAAATCTGGTACAGCTGAACATAACATAAGTTGGGGGGATTCCTAGGGTTTTCTCAGTACAGATTCCACACTACCATTCTCTTTTCTAGGTTAAGTCTTGTAAACAAGCTGTTGCTAAGAAAGAGCAGACACGAATGTGTATTTCACACGCAGCCTTATTCAGTCACTTTTAAGATCAAAGCTGGATATCCATGCAGTGGTTTGGCAAAGACTTTGTGGATGCCCTTCTCACAAGGAATTGATTTCTCTGCTCATTCATCCCTAAAGCCAGAATCCTCCTGGCGTTCCAGTAAAGAAACGTGTGGGTTAGGCATAGAAATTCATCCGTGTGTTGGGAAAACATCACCTTCAGGTCACTTCAGGCTATTGAGGAATTTTGGTTGTTCTTCCCCTCGTGGTAGAAGCGTTTCTCCACCAATCTTTGGACCTTTTTTCTCCTAGAAATATGAACCACAGAGAAGAGTTAAAGCATGTCAAGATGTTTCCTAGTTTTATGACAGAGTTGGGACTGATTTATCCAATTAAATGTTGACCGACACTCCAGAAATATTCACATTCTGACTGCTTGCGGATACAGAAAAAGGAAATTCTCCATGGCTAACTAAAACAAAACTGCAAGAACAGAAGGAGAAAGGAGAAACTCCACTAAAACAAAGCCTGGAGAAGATGCAGAGCAGCTTGGCTTTGCTGACAGCTCATAAGGGCACTGAAGCAAAGCATGGGACAGAAGCACCAGAAGCAGGCAGAGCACTGTGGTGCTCAGCAGCTGCTGGTTCACACTTACCTTCAGCATCCCATCTCGCTCCCACTTGAAGAGGCCGCAGGTACTGAAAGATAAAGGGGGCAGGTGAAGACAGCTGCGTGCTGCACAGTATGAGGAGGTGGTAAACGACCCCACACTTCCAGCACACCACTTAGCAGGAGGGCCTAGCACTATGCTTTCAGGATGCGATTATGTGACTCCCAAGCCCACAGTACTGTTTCACAAGGCTTATTTCTTACCTGCAGGGCTTTTTTGGGAGCCTGTCAAGGGCAACAGCTCGGTTGCCACAAGGACATTTGAAAAACCGCTTGATGCCATCGTGCCAGTGGTAGTCGTGGTTGTCCTGCACACAGGTCTCCAGAGGCTTGAAGTAGGTGTAATTACACTGTCAAGGGGAAGAAAGAAAGCTGTGAGTGCTTACCAGCATGTCAGGCCCAGGCTGCGGGCTGAAGACAGCTGATCAGCCAGAGCCAAGTACTTCTGTGTCTTCTCCCATCTGGAAGCATCCACCAGTGTGAGCAACACACCACCCCAGGCTTTGCCACTGCTCCTTCTGTCACCATCCTGCCTGCTGTACCACCACCCTGCTCTGCCATCCTGCAAGGCATGGTCACCCTCTGTGCTGCCCTAAAGAAACAGGAAAGGCAGTGGGAGGAAAAGCATAGCAGAAGCTGCAAATCCAGAAACGGAACAGAATTCCTTCACCCTCAGCACATTTGGGATATTTTAAACTCTGTTCCTTTTCTTGATAGTGAACTTCCAGGAAATGCAGACAAAGAAATCCCAGTGTTATGTTTTTCAAGGCATGAGGCTTCACTTAACGTGGAATATGGGGAGCTGAGGGTCCTGGACAGAGTGCTTCAGGGATGAAGCTGAGAAATGAACACCAGAACACCAACATCCAAGGAACCCACTGCAATAAACAAATTGAGATGTTGAGCATAACACTACAGCCTGCTTTGACAGCGTCTTCGTATCTCAAAGTCACTCACTGTACAAGCTGCTCTCAGCAACAGCCACAAGGAATTAAGCAGTCTCCATTTGATACCTGCACTGAACTATGGCCAAGTGAGTGACTGTCGGGGTTGTGCAGGATGGCCTGGTATCATTCTGTGCAGTCTGTGCCCTAATTGCCTGCTGTCACCCTGACTCCACCTCACTCACCGTTTTACACGTTACCACTCGACATTTCACTTCTTTAATGCTCCTCATCTTCTCTTCTATTTCTTCTTTTTTCACCAGCGGCTGAAAGTATTGCTCTTGTAGCTCAGCTTCAGCCTGCATGGGCACAGGAAAAAGGGTGTGGGGAGAAAAAGAGGCAAGAAGCCACTCGACACGTGGCCTTTAAGCAAATTACTGGGACTGTTTGCAGTAAAATGCAGCCGACAGCCAGAGAAACAGCAAATATTTCTTGCTTCAAAGAAACCCAAGTAGGGCACACGCTGTGCTCCACCACCACTGAAACCAGCTGCCTCTGAGATACCTGAGTGGGAGAGTTACCAACAGCAGATACGAGTGAAATGAGCACACAGCTATGGCAGTGCAGGTAGAGCTCAGGTGGGCACATGTAATGAATGTGCAAGAGCCACATCCACTGGACATGCAGTATTCCTAGGGACACGCTCAGAGATCCTGACACTGCTCATCATGCTGACTTAGTGCCTATGATACATTTGGGTGCCTGCTTCGTGCTGAAGTCATTATCAGAAGTCCTAACAGCAACCTCATTCTAAGCTATTAGTCATGGCTGGGTCGAGGCCATACCTCTTTGAGGACACTCGTGTGCTTGGATTTGGCATTCAGGATCTTCTGAAACTCTTCTGACTCCAGGTAGGCCAGCTGCTCACGTCTTTTCTTCTGGGCAGGTTCCTGTTCATCCACATCTAAGAAAAGCAAATGAGTTCAGTCCCGAGTTCAAAAAAAAGGTTGTGATTTCTAAACATGACCACTGGAGGAGATTTTGGAAGGCAGATGCTCAGGTCAAGCAGCAGCCTTTAGTAGTTCAGGAGAACATGAAGCTGAGTTCAAAGCTGGCTTCAGAAAATAAAAGCATTTTATACACAACACTGCGTCTTCTCTTGAAGCACCGCAGCAGGAAGTTCCACACCCTCCAGGGGAGCGAGCACTGTTGTCTCCCTTACTGAAGGAGAAGTTCCATAGGAAATGGAGGAATACATTCAAGATCCCACAGTGTATCACCATCAGGGAAACTCAAAAGTCAGTCAGTTTGGCAGGTGGGATCATTTCTTGATTTCCTTTGATTGAGTTAGCCATGCTCTGCTGGTACTAAAGAGTGGCAAGAAAAGGAACAGAGTGAGGATAAGGAGCTACCTATCAGAGATGACATCTCACACTCTCTCCAACAGGGTTAGAGATCATTCAGCCTTTGAGTCAAAACCACTGCAGAAAAAACCCCTGAAGTTCTAAATAGCCCTTACTCAGCCTCTTTCTGGCATAGCAAGGCCTTGACCCAGTTAACAGCGCTCTGTCCAGCAGAATGTAAGAGTATTTTTTTCATTTCTACAATCCAACATTACTTACCATCCTCTGCTTCTGCTTTCTGTGGTTGAGCAACGTTTTTCTCAACTCTTTCAACAATTTCTAGGACATCATCAAGATCAGCTCTTTTCCTCTTGATGCTGTTTGGATCAGATTTAGCAAGAATGTGGCCTTTTGCTCGTAGTCTGTGTATTGCAGCCAGCTAGAAAACAGGGAAAAGCTGTGAGTGTATTGGTGAAGCTTGGCTTCTGTATTCCTTCTTCCAGGAGTAACAGAAGTCTGTCAAATGGAGGAAACAAGATCCACTGGTCTGAGCACAGAACTGGACAGAGAGAGGCCTGATAAAACCCCTATCTCTGCTGTACATCTCATTCAACACGTCGCACGGCTCCTAGTCACTTCCTAATCTACACAGTGACTCTTGCAGGGGTGGTTATCGGCATCTCTCTGCAGACGTGCTTTCACTGCTCCACAAATCAGCAAGTCTTCCAGAAGAAATTAATAGAAAATCACATCAAACCACTCCTTTCCAAGGGCAACAGGCTAGCCTATGTATGAAGATCACAGAATGGTTTGGGTTGGAAGGGACCTTTAGGATCATCTAGTGATTTAAGATAGAAGACTTCCGCATTCCACAAATCCAATTTCCCTCAACTTCCCCTTCTTCACAGTCAAAAGCAGCTCATTCAAAGAGCTGTTACCTTTTTGGCTTCTGCCAAGCTGTCCAGCTTTGGTGTTGGAGGGGGAGATCCATCAAAGAAAAGGATATCTTCTCCTTCTGAGAAGCCCGTGCCCAGCCTGGGCCTTGGAGGAACTGATATTTTTGCAGCTTTAGGGAATTCTGCCCCGGGTTTTGGGGACAGAAGTGAAGGCTGCCTGGAGGTGGATGGGAGAGCAGGGCTTCCAGCTTTACTTGTGTTCTGGAGAAACCTTTAAAGACAAAATAATTCACTGAAATAAAGATATGAGCCAGAGACAGAGAAGTCTGGAACAGAAGATGCAGACAGCGAGTTGTTGGGGCTTTTTTAACCTAACTGGCCTTTTGTTGCTAGAAAAACATTTAGTGATTCAGGCATTCAGGAGAGCAAAACTAAACTAGTAAAGGATTCACAGGGACACTGAAATGAAGAAGTCACTAGAAAAGGTGAACAGCCAATTGCTTTCTAAAACAAAAGCACAGAGGCTTCAAATGAACGTGACAGATAAGGGCTGAAAGCACTTCAAAGAATCACAGAATCACAGAGTTGGAAGGGACCTCAAGGATCAGGAATCTCCAACCCCCTGCCTCAGGCAGGGCCACCAGCCTCCACATTCAATACCAGACCAGGCTGCCCAGGGCCCCATCCAGCCTGGCCTTGAACACCTCCAGGGATGGGGCATCCACAGCTTCTCTGGGCAGCCTGTTCCAGCACCTCACCACTCTCTGTAAAGAACTGCCCCCTGACATCCAACCTGAATCTTCCCTCCCTCAACTTAAAACCATTTCCCCTTGTCCTGCAGTTATCTACCCTTTCAAAGAGTTGATTCCCCTCCTTGGGGGAATCAATGGGCTTCTTGTGTAACAGGTAGTTAAAAGTAGTAGGCTTCTTTGTCACACAAGTCACGTAAATACTTGAGTTTACTACAGTCATTGCAGTGGCTGGACAGGTTTGTGGGGAAAAAAGATCCCTTCAGGGATATTGTAATAGACAGCACCTTTAGCTTGGGAAGGCCCTGAAACACAGTTGTAGATTGGGAGAATATTTGGGGGAAGTATCATGATGGTTGTACCTCAGGCTCTGTTTTGGATCCCTGAGGTTTTGGCTTTACTTTTGTTCAGCCTGTAAAGGTTACTAGGCTACATCAACCTCTTCTTGCACGCAGAACACCTGTGTAGGCCAGCATGAACCTGGAGTCCTGACCCCAGCTTCCTACTCTTCCCACCATGCCTTCCTGTTGCTAGGCAGCACACTGCAGTATTTGATTCCACACTGAATAAATAGTTTTTATAAAAAAGCAAATTTCCTCCACAGCTGTACTGGGCCACAAAGGACCTCCTGTGTAAGTCATACATATTACCTTCTCTGAATCTCTTCAGATCGCTTTTTCCTGGCCTCCAGCAATTTCTGTTTCTGTTGTTTGAGCAATGCTGATGCAGAGATAGACTGGAAACCAGTCTCTTGCTTCTTTCCAGCATCTGTAAAAACAAAACAGTGTAAAACACCAGCACCATTTGCTCAGAAAGAGCTGTGTTTGCAGGCACAAGGACATACCTGCTTTGGTCCAGTGCTTGCAGAGGTTTCTTGCTCCAAATGTTGGCTGTGCCAGCAGTTCTTTGAATTCCTCAGAACATGGCATAGGTCTCTTTGCTGCACCTGGGGAGGAAGAGGCATACATGCAACATAATTGGAGCCAGGAAGGGAAGCACACCTGGCTTTAAAGACATAAAGTAGCCTAGGTTGGAAATAAGTAAGCACTCCCCTACAAAGCAGGGTTAGCTCCTACATTACGTTTGGTTGTTCAAGCACTGCACACCACAGGCTTTTCCAACCCTTCAGCAACTCCATCAGTCACTCAGTCCTCTACTGGCCTGCTTGCCTGCAGTGCTCTGCCACTCCCATTTGTGGGCAGCCTTTGCTGAAAGGCCCTCATCCATCACATCTCTTCCTTGGAGACTTAAGAGCAGCTGAAGGCTACAGACAGTACACACAGACTGCTGTCTGAAATGGTGGCAATTGAAAGAGCTGAAATGTGGATAAGACATCTAGGCAACATCTGGAGTGCATGCTTTGAATAACCTATCATCTGAGTGTAAAGAAGGTGCAACATTAAGTGCTTTTCAGAAAAGAAATGGAGGCAGAGAAGATCAATGAATTTCCAAAGGCTATGGAAGGAAAACGCTTTGAAGATGACAAAAGAAAAGCTCAAGAAACAGGCTGGGTACTCAGCAGGCCCCCTGCATTGCAGACCTGTCTCTGATTTATACTTAGTATTCCTTGGAAGTCTCCAAGACTGACAGAAGTCATCCATTTTAATCAATTAAAATAAATTCTCCGGTTCAAAGTTCTTAGAACTTCCAATTCTCATTAATCCTGCAAAGATCTTCTGTCATTGTCCAAAGACAGAACAGGAGACTTAATTCAGGGGCACTGCTGCAAAAAGGTGCGCAGAGCTACACAGTTGCTTAGTTACATTTGCCTTGCAGCTGTGATCTCAGGAAGAAGGGAGTTCAGATCAACGGAGAAAGCCTGCAGAGGTGTGCAGCAATCATTGCCTAATTTTTCGGGGATGACGGGGTCCTGGGACACAGCCACACGTCAAGCTGAAAACATCTGGAGGGTGAAGAGGCTATGGGGGAAGTTAGGTACCAATTTTCTGCCTGGTTTCCTGGACAATTGCATCAGCTCCTCTCACGACCATATTGGAGAGAGTGGTCTGAACCTTCCGTTTTGGCACTGCAGCAGCCGCCCTAGACAGAGGAAAAAAAACAGATCAGAGTTTTTCCATGTTCAGAGCAAGGACAGAAGGTTGAATGCTATCCCAGTGTAAAACTGCAGTTGTTCTTGAATCCAAATTGGTGCTTCTCTCCTGGCATCTTTCTCTCTTTGGGAACATTAATCTAAATCCAAATTCCAGAGCAATGCTTAGGATCCTTGTTCTCACTGGGTTGGGATACACATTCCTTACGTTTAGTATTCTCTCAGTGCATATGTCATTGCTAAGCCTCACTCACAGCCAGCTCCAGGGATGGAAAGGAGGCTGGAATTGCTTATTACTGAGAGGTCACAGCAGTTATCAGATGGCAGCAGTCAGGGAATCCAAGCAGTATGCAAGCACAGCACGTGATCCAGCTGTGACTCGAATCTTTCCACAGCTGTCTTCAGGGGGGTTTGGATGAAGGGTCAGACCCCTCTGCTCTAGCACCAGATGCATACTGACCTTAACCATTTACTAATACACAAGGTATTGTGTATCTCTGCCTTTTTGTTAACATGCAGTGATACTATATCATTTCAGTCAAGGGAGAAGGAGGAAATACAGAATACACTGAGTCTGGGATTAAAAAGTAATGAGCCATGACAAGGTGCAGTACTGAGGCACTGAGAAGTACTCATCTTGTAGTCTCAAATGCTTGGGACCTCACAATAAAGGTTATTTCATCTCCCGAAACACAACACCCACTGGCTTCACAACGCAGTAATAACTTGGAGGTAAAAACATCTTTTCACACTGTATCACTGACTGATGAAATCTCCCTATCAAATAGCAGCTCTGCTACCCTGTGAGGCTGGAAGGATTACACCATGCGTGGGACATCTATTCCTGTGTGATGGATGCAGATAAGTCCCGGGGCATTCTAGCTAAATAGATGCCGTTACAGAGAGAGCTTCAGACTTGCATAAAGGACAGAAATTCCACTGAAAAGGTGGGAACTGTGCTTTAGCTGAAGGGAAATACAAGGTTTGTCTTACACTGAAGCCGCATACGCTGTTGAAGGACAGAAATTCCACTGAAAAGGTGGGAACTGTGCTTTAGCTCAGGGAAATACAAGGTTTGTCTTACACTGAAGCCGCATACGCTGTTGAAGAGACTCCTCCGTAGTGGAACCCATCCTGACACAGCCTCTCCTTCAAACTGGGGGTTTTCCTACCAAGTTTTTTGGGAATGCGGCCACCAGAGAAGGTAGACTGCAGATCTGCCCGCTTTGAGCTCAGCTTCTTGTACTGGGATTGGATGTGATACTGACAGTACTCACAGTCATTCTGAAAAGAGAAAGAAGTCTGCTGTAGGATGCTGGTAGATAGAATTTACTTCATTCCCCTCGTGTAACCCACATGTAACCTTCTGCCCTACTGCCATTCCAAATGCTTTTAGTTCTTTCCGAGTTCCTCATCCCTTCTCCTTTTCCTCTCCTGGTTCTAAATGCTTCCCCACCAACAATAACCCTTCTGACTTTGTGCAGGCACAGATATTCTGCTGGTTTATGGGCATCACGGCCAAAGGAACTTGTCTGGTTAAGATCACCTCCAAAACCCATTCCCAAGTAAAATATCCTATCATCTCACTTTGGCTGAGTTCCTTGGTGCAGTGCATGGAAGCCTGCACTGGCACAGAGGATAATGAAGGGCATGGAGGTGGTGAAATGAGTCCAGACCATTGCTTGTCACTGTAGCTCAAGCTTTGCATTTAGGGAACTGCAGTGCTGCTGCTACAGGCCTGTCACAGCAACAGCTCCTCTGGGTCACATTCCTCAGCTCTTCCACACACCTTAATTGGTCACAAGTCGAGATACAGAAAGAAGTAAAAAAAGAGTTCCAGCAGCAGCACAAAAGCAGCAGCTACGTTTTTACCAACACCTTACAGGATATTTTAGTACTGAAGTACAAACCAGGTTCACAATCTGCGCGCAGGGATCGCCATTCTTCTTCCTGGCTTTGCAGGTGCCCATATCCAGAGCTTCACCCATGAGCAGGATCTTCTGTGGGTGATCAACAGACAAACACACCTAGAGAGAAAACAGAACGTGCCTTCACCATGGATATGCTGAATATGCTTCTCTCTTGGTGCTGTAATAAAGGACATTCCTGTTCAACTGCTCGGCTCGGAAGTCATCACAGCAATTTCAACAGATACATCCTCACAGAGGACAAAGAGATGGAATTCTTTGTCCTTCCATACACCAAGGTACAACCACAGCTCACTCCTGTGGTACAATCGAGCCTTGCCCTCGCACCACAGACACTGGGACTTGCATTTGTAGGCAAGACATAATTTTGAAGTCAGTTTTAATGTAGTTCTAGATGTGTACACCTCAGCTTCAGAAGAGCCTTTACATTACCTCTGGATGCTTTCCTGCTCACCAGCAGGACTTCAACTGCTTATCCATGTTAATTTAAGCAATTATGTAGTTTAATCGACAATTAATGAGATTCTTAATTTTTCCATTTGGAGAATTCAAAATGCAAAATAGTCCATCACCAGCTACTAGATTGAAATTACCCTTGACAGAAGTCAGTAAAAACGGTTTCCATTCCAGTGCAATTAAAAAGATATTAAAAAAGCATTTAACTTATTAACAAAATGAAGCTACCTTAAATGTTTTGATACATGGAGAAAATTAATTTGTCACGTTCCGCGTTTGTAAGTAATTGATTAAACAAATTAAGTATTATGTATCAACTTACTATACATAACACATCATTTGTTTTATAAATCAAACCCTACTTCTTCTTAATCATAATTTTGGAACCACGAAACATTTTCCAATCACGTCTCTCAAGGAGAGGAACGAGCACCCCCTAATTTTTCAGCTTGTTGAGACATTGTGGCTGAAAGCAGCTGAATAATAAATTGCCATGAAAATACAATTCCTGCATCTGCAGAAGAAGTGAGCGACCTACCAAGAGCAGGTTAAGTGCTAGGGTAAACTCTGGTTTTGAGGTGCTTAATAGGGCTCCTTGAAGTCAGGTGTCCAGAAGGCTGAGAACAAATAAACACCATGCAAATATCTGGACACAATTCAGACTTATTAGGCAGACTGCTGTAATTCCAACCCCGATGCGTCACAAAACTAAATCTCAGGCAGGCATAGAGACGTTCAGCTACAGGCTGATGGGCAAATGAAAAATCCTCTCACCTCATCTGAGCCTTCCTTAGGTTTCATAGGATTAGCATTGAGCAGCCCGATGACCGTGCCTTGCTCTGTCTTCCAGAGCTCTTTGTGGACATCCCCAAACAAGAAGAGCGAGGTGCACTGACTGAGGTCACGCAGGTCGTTCAGCCGCCAGATGCTGAAGGTTCTGCCCTGGAACAGACACTGGCTTACAGCTCAGCAACAGGACACCGACTGCACCCCCCTCTTGTGGCTGCATTTGAAGGGCTGTTGTTATTCACAGCCTCAGTAAGATGTAGCTACACTACGTCCAGCCATGCCACGCAGCCAGTTCTAGGATTGTTAGAGACCAACGCAGCACAAAAACGCTGCCGTCATCCATCTTCCCGATACGGGAGCTGGGCAGCAATCCTCCTTGCTGAGCAGAGGCCTTGACCCCACACAGCCAAAACCAAGGCATATTCAGTACCGTTTCATAGTGAAGTTCTATAGGAGACGTGCTCCATATCCATATAGGACTGAATGATCTCTAGGGAAATTATGGAAGCTGTCTGTTGGCACATTTAAAGCAAGAGAGCTATCTAGAAAAGCTGGGAGCCACTCATTTCTTTGCACTAGCATTTCACATGCTACAGTGGATGAACAGTTATGCAGTGCGTGCACACCAGCGTCAGTACAGTTGCTCCAGAGAAGGACTCACCCTGATGATGAGCCAAGATCTCTAACACAGCAGCTCTTCTTCATTTACTACAAGGAGGTGGCTGATTAAGTTGAATAAGCTCCTCAGGATAGAAAACCAGCATTTAGGATCCAGAGGGAACACAGCAAAGTTACTTACGTTATTTGTGCTCTGAGGAGTGACTTTCTTTACTATGACTCCAAATGTTACCCAATCTGTTTCCTCTAGATTTTCAGTAGCAAGTTTGTGCTTCAGTTGGGACAGCCGGATCAGCCTCCTGTTAGCCATTTTTCTGTCCATCTCAGCTGATGAGACCCGGGGTTTTCTACATCAAATACAGCATGTAAAAGAGAACACATTCATTTACATAAACAGACAGTCAAAACCACTCAGCCATGTCTCACTGCAAATCGCCCCTGTGCCTTATTTCACACCGAGTTCACTTGAAACAAAACCTCTCTCTTCCAGATGCTGTACAAATATTGGAGAGCTACAAGTCAAGCATGTTCTTTGCCCAAATACCTGCACTGCAACTTAGCCCTGAGCCTTCAGTAACTCTTCTCACTTCAGGAAGGACTGAGTATCACAGCTCTCTGGAAATATGCTAGAAATTCAGCATGGTTTCTGGTGAGGAGGGTACAATAAGTGTTCAGAGACCTCTCGTGGCCACAGTGAGTATGGGAATTGTGAATGGTCCCGAGGGTTCTGGGTGTGAAACAAAGTCTGCACTGCTGGGGCCCAATCAGACCTTATTTGTGCCAACTGTTGAGGATATACCAGAGAAGGCAGCAATAATAAAATTAGAGACTTTCATTAGAAAAGAGTAAAAATAAAAATCAAATGTAATGAGCAAGCAGGCAGTGCTGTGGCTCTGTTAGCCCAAGTCCTCCGCTCACAACTGGTGCAATTAACACATCACAGGACATGGTGCATTCAGTCCCACCACCTGAGCACAGCCTCCCCAGGCAGAGGTCAGTGCTGGGCTGCTGACCTTAATCTCAGTCCTGAGAAGGTTTCCACAGACACGGGCTGCAGCGCTGTAGTGGAGCATGCAGGCACGTGAGCAGTCTTCTCTCTGGGCACCTTACTGGGTGTGTTCCCTGGGGCAGACTTGAGAGGCTGGAATGCCAGACTGAGGACTTGTCGTGGGGGAGGAGTCTTGGTCTCTTTAGCAGAAAAAAAAGAAAAGAAGAAAATCTTGATAAAGAAAACCTATAAATAAAAATAACATTCACTTACACTTGATTAGACACATGAGTCCAGTGCAAGTGAGGAATAAAATGTGTAAAACTTAATAATATTGTACTGGTCTCCCAGTCAGCTAGAAATGGTTAATAGAAATATCAGCCTGGATGTGTCCAAGCTGCTGCTGTGAACAACACAGGATATCAGCAAAAGCCCTGTGTGTTTCAATGAAAGGTGCACTCAGATTGGTACCTGCTGGGGAGGCTTTTGATTTCTGGTTTCCTCTCTTGGCTGTTGGTAAAGGATTGTCCAGCTGGGCAGAAAAACACAGAGACTCCTGCAGCTTCTGAACTTTCCTTTCCTTTAAGGGTGGACAGAGAGATTTGCCTGGCCAAGAAAACAAAAGTATTTATGAGATCTCAGGATCCAATCTTAAATACTAAACATTGTTCCAAACTAAGTAATTGTTTGAACAAATCCAAGTCAGGGTCCCACAAGGAAACCCTTCAGTTAAATTGCCAGCATCTGAGATGCAACATCTGTAAAAGCCCCAATGATTCTTACTCCTTCTGACCTTAAACTCTCGATGTCACTGAAGCCAGAAAGCTGCAGAAAGTAGGAGCATTTCCTTGCTTTTCAATTTCCCTGCATTTCATTAGTTTCATTACTACACTCAGTGTGTTACAGCAACAAACACAGCTGTATGTGTGGGGTGTAGCAACATCTGATTGTACCAATATCTGCCAGTAGGAAAGAACCTTCTCCAGCAGAACACTGGAGCACCTCAGTCACGGAAGTTGCCCCATTTCTATCAATCTGTGATGCAGAAAACAAAACTGCAGCTCATTTAGTCTGCACTGCAAGAAACAGTCTGTGTGGGAATATAACAGACCATCATTCCTCTTTGCTACTCAGTTCCCACTTCAGATTATCTGCCTACAGTTTGCACATTGGGAGGCTAACAAATCAGAAACTCATTTAATTAGTCTCGTTACCAGGGGCTTTCTGCTCAGGGTCTGAACTGGATTGCTGCCCGATGGCAGTCTTCTGCAGCTGCTCCTGTAACATCTTCATCTGTTCTTGCAATTTTCTCAACTCAGCTAGCAAAGAAAGAAGAAAAAGGACAATAATGAGGACAGATGTAAGCCACAGTAAACAGGGATTTAAGAAATCCTGGGGAGCCTGGCAGTATTACTGCATCACAGAAGATTAGGAAAAAAAAAAAAAATTAGTTCTGATTCTACATAGCTCACAATGAAGGGACACCTTTCCATGCACTGGAGCTGACTGACATAAACATTTGTTTGTGCTATATTCCTTGACGTGCTGTGCATATCTTTTCTAGTGAACACAAAACCATTCAAATGGCTGATGATTGCACTCCATAACATAAAGAAGTGCTTCCAATACAATCAAACACACTGCCCGAATACAGGAATGCTCAGGGACTGGCTCTGCTTCCACACCGGCTGGTACAGCAGAACCCCCCACCACTAAGCCCTGAGGAAGCAGGTGGAGCTTTGTTTGTAAGAGGTACCAAGATGACAGCTCTAAGGACTGAAGCAACATTGCTCTTCATCAGACAAGACCCAAGTAAACAGGAGACCTTCTCTATCCTGTTCACCAGAGCTCGACAAATCTTCATGGCTCCTCTGTGCTTCTTTTGGGGAAGTAGATTTCATGAGTTTGGCCAAACAGCACTGAAAATTGGATTTAGAACGCTCTATCCAATGTCTTTCACAAGGACTTTCTACATTTCCCATCTGGGTACCACCCTTACTGAGAGAAGCAGTAGGCCCTATATGACAAACATGCCAGATAAACGATGCCTTAACAAAAACCTTGTAATTCTTCATTGGTTTTCTCTTCTCCCTGACTGGGAACTGAAGCAGAGACAGTGTTTTCTGCCTCCTCTTCTTCCAGCAGGTCATCCACATCTCCAAACAGCACAGCCAGGTTCTCCTTTTGCTCATCAATTATGCTGTCAGCATCCACCTCCTCAGTGTATGATGCATCATCTTCTGCATCAAAGAGCTCATCATACTCATCTGCTTCTCCCTTCTCATCCTTTGGGGTATCTTCCTCCTCAGGAGAATTCTCCTTTTCAGCCTCCTCATTTTCTTCCAGGAGGGAGACCAACAGATCCAAATCTTCATCACCTGAAGCAAAAAATTAAACTCAGTGTTATTTCTGTCCTTTTAGAGGAAAGCTGCTACAGAATAAAACATTCAAGACATTTAAATCACAGGCAAATAAAAAGCAAAACTAAATCTGAGCAGCGAATGGAATTTTTAAAAAACTGCTTCAGCTTTGGCTTAAGGAAGACAAAACAGCTTCCTGCTACCTGGTCCAATAGATACATTGTTGTGGACAGTCTCAGCTCCTGACCCAGGCTGGCTGGTCAGAAGAAAACTTGGCAGACTTAGCACTGGAATTTCCTCCTGGCCAGCTGCCTTATGACAGCTTCTGCTGCAAAGAAAAGCCGTGGGACCTGCAGAGGACAGAGTGACAGCCACATGGCTCTTGGTAATAGGAGCTTAAGAGGAAGATTCAAGGCAAGCAAGAAAGCATATCCTCAGATTCACTTTGCTCAAGGAAGCAAACAGGGCAGCAGAGAAACTGCTTGTCTTTTACAGTGAGGGTGGTGAGGCACCGGAACAGGTAGCCCAGAGATGTGGTTGATGCCCTGTCCATGGAGACTTTCAAGGCAAGGATGGATCAGGCCCTGGGCAATCTCATCAAGATGTGCATGTCCCTGTTCATTGCAGGGAGTTGGACTAGATGACCTATAAAGGTCTCTTCCAATTGTAAAGATGATTCTAAAAACAGAAAAATGAAAAAGATCTACAGGGAGGAGAACAGGACAGACAGAGCAGAGCCACATACACACTGCAAAATATATTCAGCATTAGGCCCCGAGGAAAACACAAATGCAGCCTCACAAGAGGCAATGCACAAAGCCAGAGGGAGCACAAAGTAATTTCCTTTGTTAAGAGGCAAACAGAGCTCTCTGCACTTCATCAGAAAGCTTCCCTACTGCAAGTAAGGCAGTGCTTTTATCCCTTACCATCCATGATCTCACCAGGATTCCTTCCAGAGCCACCAAGGCCAAACAGACTCTGTCACAGGAGAACAAATGGATACCGTTGGGATGGATATTACAAATGGAGGTCACCACTCTCGATCAAGCATCTTTCTATCCACAGCTGCCCATGAGAACGCTGAACTTAAAGCCACACGTGTATTTCCACACGTGAAGCCCGACTTGAGCTGAGCCCCCTGCAGCACAAGACCACAACCTGGAGAACAAAGCCCTGTCCCAGCCCCCCATCCAGGGATCCCTCCTTCCTTCCTCCACAAAGGGACTCCCTCCCCGGTTCAGCCCAATCTCCCTGACCCGACTCAACGGATCCCTTCCCCTCGTACCCCCGATCTCAGGAATCCCCTCCCCTCTCAATTCCGATCCCTCTCCCCCAGGCCTCCCCCCACAGCCCCGCTCACCGCCTCCCGCGCTCTCCAAGCACCCGCCAAAACTCCAATCGCGCTCCGCCCTCTTCGCGCATGCGCGCCGGCGAGCCGCTCTCTGCGTCAGCGCCATCTTTAGTGATGGCGGCGCGGGCGCCATCTTGGCTGTGGGCAGGGAGTCTGTGGTTCGGGGCTGGCAACAGCGATCATGTGGAAACTGAAATTCATGATGATACAGGAGCCTTCTGTTTTAGTCTCTTTCCCTTTAAATTATGAGTTTTCCCTTGTAATATGAATTATACGCAGGAATCGCCTCAAATTGCTCTTAGGAGGATGAGCTTTCTCTTGTACTAAATCCAACCTGCAAGATGTTACGGAGAAAGAGGCAGTGTCACTGGTGACCATCTGTGCCACTCCCTGATTATAAAGGATAAATTAAGGACAGACAGGCTTTGGTAGCTGAAGGAGTTAAGAAAAAATTCATGTAGATTGCAGGATAAAACTGAAGATGCACTCAAATGGAATCACAGAATGGCCCGGGTTGAAAAGGACCACAAAGATCATCCAGTTTCAACCCCCTGCTGTGTGCAGAGTCGCCAACCACCAGACCAGGCTGCCCAGAGCCACATCCAGCCTGGCCTTGAATGCTTCCAGGGATGGGGCACCCACAGCCTCCTTGGGCAACCTGTTCCAGTGAAATACCCAAAGCAAATTGAGGAATGTTTAGTTGGGCAGCTGAAGTGGTCTGCTGGGTGGTTGGAAGGCACTACTTTGTACCAGTCCCAGTAAGGACAGCTATGTGTTGTTGCCCTGTGTTTCTTGACCCAGCAGCTGCAGCAATTGGCTGTGAAACAACCCCTCGGTTGTCTTGGATGAGTGGGAATCATTGGGTAGGCTATGGTATATTTGGAAATAGCTGGCTCTCTTACCCAGGCATTTCCCAAAAGCAGGCGGATGGTAGCACAAGTTAGTTTTGTATTTTTTTAATTGCAGATTTAGTGCACTGGATTACCCCTTGCCCATTAACAGTCTTAGTATTTATCAATTCCAGGTGTTAAGAATTGGTTTTTCTGTTTTGTCTGCTTATGGTCTGTGTGATCCCCACAGGGCATCTCCACATCACCCTGCTTTCCATCTCATTGCAGTAATGATGGCTTGCCCCCCTCTGCAAACTGAGGTCTGCAAATCCAGCAGTATTTTCCTGCTCACAGATCTCCCACCCAACCACAGGACTATTTCTGGCCTCTTCTCAGTTTGGGTTTAAGGCTGGGAATTGTGTCTCACGTGGCTGCTGGCTGTGGGACAGACTGTGACAGCAGGAATGTGTCTTGTTAGAACAGGGGCATGTGACAGGTGGTATTCCATTAACGCGTGGAGTCCAATCATGTTAAAGCACAAACATGTTTTATCTTTCATCTAAGGGAAAGCAAATTACTCTTAAACTTGTGCTAATGAGCATCTGCTGGCCACGTTCACCGGTCTTTTGTCCACTGTGCTAAATGGACTGTACTTAATGATGACGGTACAGGAAAATAATCCTCCCTCTTGCATTAGCAGGTTTCAGCGGATCGGGGTGTTATTATTTGCAGTTCCTTGTCCCTCCTGATTTGCAGTATTAGATCTTATCTTTCTATGAAGACCTACTTCAGCTTATGCCCATGTCTTCCTGTTCGTATTCCTGTGCTCAGATCCTCTTCTCTTACTGAAGCCTCTTAAAATGATTAATTTTGTCTTGACAGATGCGTAAGTAATTCCTCCTCTGGCCTTTCACATCGATTTTCTATGTTTTCATTAATAAGGTTAACGCTACTCAGAGGAAATCAGCTCTATTGTCTTTCTATTAGTTTGATTTTGGCCTAGTTGCATTTCCATCAGTTTTTGATCATTGCAGAATCCATAACTATTGCATAGCTCCTGTAATAAAACTGGATTCAAGGAAAAAAGCCCATAAATCCTGCTGTCGTGGGGAACTAATTAAAAGTCAATAAGATATTGCATCTTCTGGGAGTGCTTGTAATTGATGAAGAAGGGTGCAACCAAGCCGATGAATATCTCTTCACAGTAGATTTCAGCCAGCTCTTGCATTAGCTGAAATTATGGATGAAGATGTGTGGGAGCGTGAGCTATAGCTAACAGAAAGCAGGCATCCAGAGTTTACAACGGATAATTAGAACAATAGTGACAACCACAAAAATAGAAACAAATCTTTGCTTTAATTATAAAGGCAATAAAGAGATTACTTTTCCTGCTACTGGTAGCTGAGAGTTCACTGGCAGCATGGCGTGAGAAATGTTTGTCTTCATACACTAAAATGCAGTGAAGGAATGTTTTATTTGCTCCAAGGAACACCTACAGACATTTTTTGTGTGTAAATTTTAAGAATATTAATCTGCTTGGAGTGAAATATAAATCTCACATTTTTTTATCTTTATTTTGAATTAATCAGCTCTAGACTGTTTTCAATGCCAGGTCTGAAGCAAAATACCAAGTCACTGAATTTTTTATTTCTAATTCCACTATTGATCTGTTGAGTGTTTTCTCCTCCATCATCCGCAGGACAATCTGGAGAAGTGCTTATTTATTGAAGTAGGTTGACAGGAGAATTTGTCATGTACCAGTACAGAATATCTGCTATAACACTGCACACTCAGTTGTGGTATCCAGCAGCCCTAAGGCTTTCTCCTATGGAGCTGTGAGTTGTTCCATTCTTCTTAGCTCAAGATCACAAGATGACATAAGCTATATATATTACTTTTACTGCACATGCATCTCTCTCATGGGTTGTGTCATCCTTTTAACATTGGTCTGAACTTCAGAGTAGCAGAAATGTATTGAAGTGTCACGTGTTCACTTATAAAAACATTTCTCCTCCCATATCTGAAAAGTTGTGTTAGCTATCACTGATGGATAGCAGTGGACTTCATAACACAGCTTGACATCTTTACTTTAAAAGATGCATTACCTTCCCTTCCAGCTGTCTGAAACTGAGGCCTGGTGGAGTTTTCTATGTACCTTGTGCTGGCACAGCCATCCCCAAACCAGAGCCCCTCTTCCAGATGTGTGAATATGCCTTTTCAGCAAAGCACAGAGCTGGGATATTCTCACAGACTCAGTGAACACAGTGCAGAGAAGACAAGCAATGACAAAAAGTATGGATTTATTTTTTTTTAAAGCCGATCTCTTCAATTGGACTGCAATGTGTACGGAAGTGGAATTCCTCCCTGAAATGCCAGCAGTAAAGGCCACAGACCAGTCACTGTTGGTCACAGGGTACAGTCTTGTGTTTCTTATAGACAGGTGACATGGCTCACAAGCCGTGTGATGGAGAGTGACCTCATGACTCCATGTACATAACTGAGGCTGCCAGACGTGTGAGGAAATGTGTTTCAACACTGAGTCTCACTTTCCTGGCTTAGTGCCTGAACTGTCCTGTTGCTCACGTGACAACTGCTTTCATCATTTCTGGTGTACAAGAAAACTGAGATAGCTCAGCTTCCATGGCTAACACCACTGCTAATTGTAGTCATGTCATAAGCTGATCATGCTTGTTCTCATTTTGCTAAGAGTTGTGTATTTAACACAACAGCATGCCAAGAACTGTTACTTGTTGAGATAAAAATCAAACGTGAGGACAAGAACAGAACTAATGCACTACTGTTCTTTCTATATAAGCTTTCCAGCCACAGATACTGGCATTCCCCTTTCAGCATCCAAAATATTAACAGGCATTGATAATTTTATACTTGCAATAGATTTATTTTGAGATCTGAAAATCCATTATACTCCTCTCTTTAAATTAGGTTACATCCATTTCGACTTTCTCTAACACAATACTGTACAGGTTCAAATAAATTTATTACAATAAAGAAGAATCAAGGCAACACCTTAAAAATAAACAGTTTTATAAAACCCAGTGACTTGGGTACACCAGGAGCTACATATACCAGACCTCAGTGATCTGCCTTAAACCTTACCTACGTCCAACTAAAGCAAGAAGTTACGTAAGCCATCAAAAATATAACATCAGATTAGTATGGTCACAAGGGCAGCAACTAAACTGCCATCTGGAGAAAGAGGTGGCTTCATTTTAAATGCTCAATGAATACGAAACACTCCATTTTACTGGAAGCTTCTCAAACAGCTGTTGAACATATTAGTTTCCTGATTAATAGTATATGAGAGATGAAGTATTTACAGGCTTACGGTAGTTGAACTGATGGGCATATCTCTCATCTCCTTTTTTACTGCAGCAATTCAGCCCAGCGCTGCGGGTAGCTGTAAGAGCAGAGCACATCAGGGGAATGTTCCTTCAACATTTCATTGCAGCAGACACACAGGGAGTTTCTTAACGCATCCATGTTGTTAACCTGTAAGAATTCATTTCCTAACTCTTGTTAAAACAAGTTCAGTGAGTACAGGGTAGGGTAAGAGATTTTCTGTTTTTCCATTGAATAAATGAGAAAAACCTTGAAAATCTCCTTTGCTGGATGTAGAATGAACTTACTCTAGCAGAAAGAAAAAAAAAATTATGTTCAGCAGGTGAAATTCCAGTACATGAAGAACAAGAGGGCGTTATTCAATTAATGCAGTCCATAACATGAATCTGCAGCGTGTCCAAATCGGGCAGAATTTCTTCACATTTTGGACAGGAGTATATTGAGATATTCCGCTGCTCTGGCCATTCTTGACTACCAGTTCCTGCAAGCAGAGAAGATAAATAATTACCTGTTACTTGTTTTTTTTGTTTTGTTCTGTTTTGTTTTCACTCATTTTGTTTAATGGTTGAAAGAGAACCGACTTGCTTCTAAAAGCTGGAGAATTACATTCTCTGCAGCTCTGCAGCTCCCCAGCCATAGAGGAGCTGGGGAGTCGCTTGCTGACAAGCAAAGGTGTTTTCAACTGAACACAGCTGGGCTTGGCCCTGTGAGCTGGAGGCTGCTTTCAGTACCTCTCTGGACAAGGCGAGGCGAGTGCTCCCGGTCTGGTGCCCTGGCTCCGTGGCGATTCTGCATCTCCGCCAAAGAGCTTCTGAAGAGAAATGGGGCAGTTACTCAAAAGTGCTCTGAAAACAAAATACGACTAAACTGAAGGTATCTTCCCTTTGCCTCCAGAAAAGTTAAAAGGCTTCAAAGTAAGCCAGAAGATCTGCAAGTAACTCAT